ATCTCGTGGCAGCGGCCACTGTCGCGACACGCAATATTTCGAGCCGGGCGTGAGGACGATCTCTGCTTGAGTACGAGGAAGGAACATTCGGACACCGACGCACAATCGAGCTTGCAATCCCACCTCGAGAAGCGCAATCGATTACCCTACTTCCAATCCTCTCTCGGAAGAACTTCCTTCGCGATCTCAAAGACGGTGACATCGAACTCGTACGCCTGATCACCGACGCTGATTCAGCGTCGTCCGGGCTGGATACTGTCATCGCTGACAGTACCTCACGGCCGAAGAGCGCTGAACTGAAGTCGGCACACGATGAGTGTTTTGCAGTGTAGTCGAGGGAAGCGCCTCTCAAATCAAGTAGTCGAGTGTACGGGATCGCCCGCGAATATGCCGACGTCTTAGTAGACAAATTGCAGCTGAGCTGCCAGCTGATCGGGGAATTCGCCACGACCGACTCCGTCGGTGAGCTGTCACTGGACACGGGTTCGCGACGGGGATCAGACGTCGATGCTTAGCTTTCTTCTTTCATCGACTCGAGTGCAAGCTCGAGGATGAGGAATCCCGGACCTTCGTTCCATCCCGCTCTTACTGGCCCTGACCGATTTCTTTTTTGCTGAACGGCAGGAGCGACCGGCGCAACGACGTGTCCTGCGAGAACCATTGCGTTAGCGACGGTTTGACGCATCGTTTGCGTCGATCTCCATGAGCTCGGAAGCCGTCTCTCGAGCTGACGCAGATAGCGTACGGGCATAAGATGACACCACCACGTAGTCCTCGCGGAGCGCGAGGGAAAATGTTCAAGCGTGGAAGGCTCAGCGCAGGTGAGGCAGTAACGTTCCATGCCTTCACGCATTCACGAACACGTGGACTTGAGAGACCATGTCTATACGTTTGGTTACGATACACGACGCTGAAGGACGTCACCATAAAAACATTTATATTGACCAGTTAGTGTCTACTTTTATCACGCTGCGGGAGTACGCTGAAGAGCAGTATACAGCTGA